TAGTAGAGCAGACCAAAACTTTTCATAGGAAATGTAAAAAATTTGTATTTCAGAATTATTTAAACGTAATTATGAACACCATTTTGCACTTTTTGTGATTATCAAAAAAAAATTTGTTTCAAATAAAAAATTTTGATCACATCTAACTATACAAGTCTGATTAGATCTAATTATATAAAGACTCATTCATATATAATCTGATCTGATCATATATAGATATATATGGATTATACATGGGGTTATAACAGTATGATTATATCCGAGAAAAAATTTTTACATATGTGTTAATTATATATAAGCATATATACTTATATATAATTAGATATGGGACTATGTATAATCTTGCATGGCTGTGTATTGCTCCATATATAGTTATGTATAATTATATATGATTATATATAATTTTATATAATTATATATGTGATTCCCTATATAATCATATATAATCATATATGATTATATACAATTATATATGATTATATAGAAAAATTTTTTCTCGGGTCTCAACAGAACATTGTACGACGAATCAAAAGTTGTGTTAGTTCTAGAAATTCACAAATTCCAGATTACTTGAACAAACCTTACTTGAGCGATTCGTTTATTTAATCAGCAACTCGTAACACGCTGGTAGTTTTACAATTATCTCACGCTACACTATCGTTAACTGTTCTAATGAATATCAACATACTTGAATGCCGGCGATTAGTTCACTCATGAGCTGGACTCGTCGATCAGTTAATTTAGCGGTAACATCTCTGAGCTTTCCTGTGACCATTCCCACGTAGCTTTGCATCGGAATCGTTATCAAGAAGAGCATTCCGTAGCCCACCAGAGTATAGATCCCGATACTGCGCCAGATTATGTATCCGATCACAATGATCTAGTCATCACAAAGCAACACAATTTTTAAATTAGTCACCTCCAACACTACTTATTCAAATTTTACCTGAAGTGGTGTGATCCATAGATAATTAAGGAACTCAGGAAGCAAATCGAAGCGATTGACATCGTTGCTGAGAAGATTCACCACCTGGCCAGCCGGAGTTTCATCAAGCGCAGTTTTGCTGAGTTTCAAACTCTTTCTGTAGATAAGAGAACAACAAGCTAGTCTCAATCTCATTCCCAATATCTGTCCGAAGAAATTCATGTGATGAACTATCAAAGTGATTCCTAGTTTCACGATGATGAGCGCTACAGCCCAGCTCAGGGCTTCATTTTGAGTCATCGGATTCTCATTTTTAGCTTGAAAGTATGAAATTATGATACTTTGAATGATTGGCTGCAAATTGAATAAAACAAGCTGCTCAATCAATTGGAACATTCCCATTACTGCAAACTTCACCCAAAAGGTTTTGATGATTGCTCGCAGCAAACTTGGCTTAACTGGTTTTGTTGTATGATTATCATCGTTTTTTTGAGATTGATTGGGTTTCAGCTTCTTTAACTCATCGCTCCATGCCCTACAGCAAAATTATAAAATATTATTCATTTTTTTTTAAGACAAAGTAATATGTTTTCTCAGTGGGTAATTAATTGTTATTTCATATTCTGAGTAATAACAAATAATAATATTAAGCGCGCAGTAGCCTATCGGATCCGGCCCTTGCTACCAAAGCATTGGACCGGGTTCGAATCCGGCGTACACCAATGAATATTTTCAATATTTAAGTGTATTATTCTGCTCAGCCCAAGAAATACAAACGAGTTCCAATCTCAAAAGTTTACCCCCTACCGTAGTCGCTCATGACCTTAGTAGTTTATGCGACTTTAAACAAATTAAAAAAAAAAAAAATAATAATATTGAACAAATAGCCCCATCTCAATATTTGATTAAAAAAAAAAGACTCATTTAACCAAATAACTATTTATCTTAACTTTTTGTTGATCAGCTGTTCAAATTCAATTTTAATTATTAAAATATTTCCTTTGAATTATTGGAAAGAATAAAAATAACGAGCATGTTTTCAAACACAACAAACGGAACTAATCAACCGAATCATTTAACAGCTGTTGAAACTCTTTTGGGGAACAAAACAAAATTTTTAAAAATAATTACAAATTCGTGTTTTGGATATTAACAAGTTTTAAATGAAATTTAATATTTTTAGTATGAAAATTATTTAAATTTACAGCGTGTATATAGGAATAAAATAACGCACGTTAAGTTGTGATAAAAAGAGAATCAATTATCCGAACAAAAACAGTTTCACTGTAAAAAATCGCGCCAAGTCCACGTTCATAATATAAGACTTTTAAGAAAAAAAAATTTTTTTTTCTTTACAAAGAGATATAAAATCAAAATATTAAAAAATCCAAGTAACCGATATGATTGTATGTAATTTTTGGAAATTAAAAAACATTTTGTTGTAAATTTAAAAATTAAAGAAATAATTTTGGAACGTATTTAGTGTGCGTGGTTGCAAAATATTTTACTTTTTATGAAATTCGTAAAATCTATCTACTAAGACTGAAAAGAAATTTGACATACACAATGACGCACACCAAGTACGTTCCAAAATTATTTCTTTAATTTTTAAATTTACAACAAAATGTTTTTTAATTTCCGAAAATTATATACAATCATATCGGTTACTTGGATTTTTTAATATTTTGATTTTATATCTCTTTGTAAAGAAAAAAAAATTTTTTTTTCTTAAAAGTCTTATATTATGAACGTGGACTTGGCGCGATTTTTTACAGT